GGCGAGGAGAAGCGCAGGGCCATCGGCTAAGAGATAGCCAAACTATTGGCCGCCGGATTCATCAAGGAGGTACACCAACCGTAGTGGGTCAGCAAACCCCATTCTTGCATGGTAAAGAAAAGCGGAAATGGAGGATGTGGTGTTGACTATACCGGTCTCAACAAAGCGTGTCAAGGATCCGCTTTTCCGTCGCATAGATCAAATAAGTCGACTCCACCGCAGTGGTGCGAACCCTCTCTCTCGCTCGATGCATACCCGCTACCATCAAATTGCGGCGAAGGAGTCTCTGACCAACTCGCGACCTCTTTCATCATTCCCTTCGGATCATTCTTCCACGCCAATGCCGCTCGTTTGAAAAAGCGCCAAGCGACATACCAACGATGTATGCTTAGATGTCGGAGACCTCATCGGTGAACCGCTGAGGCCTACATCGACTTCACATCGAGTGAAGTCCATGCGGGTTGACCACCCTCATTGTCGATCTCGAGCAAACCTTTGCGTAAACTCCCGCAAATGGTATCAAACTCAACCCCGACAAGTGCGCTTGGTCCCGAGGGGCATGTCGTCAAGCTTCATCAAGTCTCCGAGCCGCATCGCCAACCCAACCCTTATTAAAATTTCCCGCCATCATGAAGATGGGCCCAATCAGAACGTAAAGGGGTCCAAATGGATCACAGGGTGCCTTGCTGCCTCAAATGATTCATCTCACGCCTCGGCTAACGAGGTCTCCCCTTTACCGGCCCTTTCCCTAAAGGCCGACTTCTTCGAGTGGATACCGAGGCCTAGGAGGCACTTGACATGCTCAAGTTGCTTCCTCATGAAGGGCCCCGATCTTAGTCCCCAAAACGGTACGTAGAGGGGCACTCCTTGCTATACATATCGGCCACCACATATAGGTGGTTAGCGCCACTCGGTAGTAGAGCGGAAAGAAGAGGAGCGACACACCAAGGTGCAACGCCCCGCGTACTTCATCGGTACTATCCGGACTCCCAAAACCTCGCTACTCCCTGCATCCGTGTTTCATGTACGCCCATCCTCATCACCAAAAGGAAGGTTATGTCAATACTTTAGTCACAATTTACGGGCCAGAAT